GAGTCACGCCAACACAATTTTTACATCATCTGGGTGGTGTTTACACCATGTATCCAGAACTTCAATACCAGACATGCCAATACATATATTCTCATAGCCACGCGTGTCAAATAATTTATTATTATTATTATTATTATTATTATTATTATTATTTATGTTTCCTGCTTTCCTGTTTATTGCAATTTTTTAGAAAATTTTCAACCTGATACAAAGGAAGGTTTTAGTTAGGTATTTATTGAGCATATTACATTGAGCGAATAAGAGTGTATATATTTTTTCTTGAGTTGCTTCTTTTAACCTCAGATATTGAGATTCCGTGAGTTTTTTTTTTAATGTGCATATTACTATTTTCTGTAATCATCCCTAGTAATCCTATTATTAATGAAACAGTCGCTATGTTTAAATGTCACATTTTTGCAAGCTCGATTTCCAGGTCTTTTAATTTGGCAAGATTGAAAATTATTTTTTCCTTTTAATCAGACGGAAGGACAAAATCTATAAAATAGCGCACATGTTTTCATATTAGTTTTTATTTCTGGTCTTTTGACTTGCAATGTCAGTCGCTATGTTTGAAGAATTCCTAGAGCACTGAAATATTTTCATTTTCTAGAGCTGAAGGGTGTTTTTTGTTCATAGTTTTCCTGCATAGAAAATGGGATGAAGTGTGTCCTTATGTCCTACTGTCCTTATTTCCCCCATCTTTTTCTTCTTCTTCTTCTTCTTCTTCTTATTATTATTATTATTATTATTATTATTATTATTATTATTTCTTTTGAATTCTGGCGTTTACATATTTCTTTCCGGGTTCCACCAAGAGATCTAAGGTTAGAAATGGCATCATGACACTTTCCACTGACGAAAAAAGAAAAAAAAATACATAGATAAAGCCCTTCGTAAAGTGTGGGCTGTACTTGCCAGAACAAATTTGTGTATCTGTTTGAGGCATGGACTTCCAGAAATCCTTTTAATTAGTCTACTGGAATTTTTTCCAACCAGTTCTCGGGCTCCAACTACAACAGGGATTGTTGATGTTCCTATTTGCCAGATTTTCGAGATTTCTATTTCAAGGTCCTTGTATTTTGACAGCTTTTTGAATATCTTTTGAATATCTTTTGAATATCAATATGGAGGCACTTTTTTGTGTGTGGTCTTCAATAACAATATCTGGGCGGTTTGCATTGATTGTTCTGTCAGTGCGAATTGTGTAGTCCCATGGAATTATAATAGGTCCTATCTCCGTAACCAGATCTGGGTGGTGTTCATACCAGTTTCTTTCATTTTCCTTCCCGTAGAAGTTGCAAATTTTTCAGTGCATTATTATTATTATTATTATTATTATTATTATTATTATTATTATTATTTTTTACTTTGACTTCTGGCGTTAAAACATTTCTTTCCGGGTCCTGAGGTTAGAAATGGTATCATAAACTTTCCACTGACAAAAAAAATATATATTACATGGATAAAGCACTTCGTAAAGTGTGGGCTGTACTTGTCAGAATAATTTTTGTATCTATTTGAGGCATAGACTTCCAGGAATCCCTTCAATTAGTCTACTGCAATCTTTTCCAACCAGTCCTAGGACTCCAACTACAACATATTTCTATTTCAAGGTCCTTGTATTTTGATAGCTTTTTGAATATCTTCAAAGATACATTGCAGTCAGCAGGGACTGCCATATCAACAAGGAGGCACCGTTTTTGTTTGTGGTCTTTAATAACAATATCTGGGCGGTTGGCTTTGATTGTTCTGTCCGTGTGTATTGTGTAGTCCCATAGAATTGTAACAAGTCCTCTCTCCGTAACAGGGTCTGGTTGGTGTTCATACCAGTTTCTTTCAGTTTTCTTCCCGTAGAAGTTGCAGATTTTCATTTGTGGTGTGTACACATTTCTTTCCAGGTCCCACACAGAGACCTAAGGTTAGAAATAGCATCATGAGATTTTCCACAAAACAATTAAAAAAAGTGCCGCCCCAAAAATCAAAAACACACACAAACATATTTATAAGGCGTGGGCTGTACACGTGAGAACAATATTTTGTATTTTTTTAATGGCGTAGAGTTCCAGGAATCCCTTAAATAAGTCTACTGGAATCTTTTCCTACCAATCCTAGGGATCCAACCACAACTGGGATTGTTAATGTTCGCATATGCCACAATTTTGAGATTTCGCTTTCAAGGTCCTTGTATTTTGATAGTTTTTTTTTTTGAAGATCTTCAAAGGCACATTGCAGTCCACAGAGATGCCATCTCAATAAGGAGGCACAATTTTTTGTTTGCGGTCTCTAATAACAATGTCTGGGCGGTTAGATTTGATTGATCTGTCTGTGTATTATGTAGTCTCATAAAATTATAACAGGTCGTATCTCCGTAACAGGATCTGGGTGGTGTTCATAACAATTTCTTTCAGTTTCCTTCCCTTAGAAGTAACAGATTTTCCGGTGCAGATATTGACCCACTCCATCATGCGGTTTTATATTCAGTAGGTGCCAATAGCGTGCAACCTGATACAAGATGATCAATCGTTTCTGGATATTTATCACAGAATCTGAATTTTGGGCTAACACAATATTTTAGTATATGTGCTTGATAATTTCTCGTTAACAAGCATTGGTCCTGTGCAGCAAAGATAAAACCTTCAGTTTCAGCTTTCAACCCTGCACTATGTAGCCACTGATGGGTACAGGGTTTGTCTGTATCAGCTTGTTTGGTTCAGGCAGAGTATTTGACATGAAGCGGTTTATCTTGCTATCGTTTCTGTAACTGGTCCGTTGCATTTGTCTTTACCATCTTTTTTTTAAGTATTTTGCAGCTTCAGTCGGTGCATTGTGCATTACTTGTATTTATGCACCCATTTAGAACTCCATTTTGAACTTGTTGGCTTCCTTTATTACGGAATAAAGACGCTTATTACTTTCATATTCTTTGACATATAACATCATCCAGTCTTTTTTATATTTTCCAGATATGTTTGAAGGCCAATTGTTGTAGTTTTGGAGGACAGTTCTAGTTGAACTAATCCTCTGCCTCCTCCGGATCTGGGCACATACAGACGGTCAACATCAGCTTAGGAAAGATGCATGCGGTAGCAAATGAGATGCTTTCTCGTTTTGGCGTCCATTCGCTTAATGTCAGCTATGGTCGAGTTAAGGATGTTAAAACTGTATTGCACCACAGGGACAGCCAAGTTGTTTATTGCTGTTGTTCGTTTTTTTTTTTTTTTTTTTTTTTAGTTCAGCTCGGTGTTTAGTACCAGACGCACACGCCTGTAGTACTCCTTTCTTAACTTCTTCATTTGGGTATGTTGTATTGTATCTCCTTCGCTAATTCCTAGGTACTAATAGGCTTCACCTCTTCCAGTTCCCTAATCTTTGTTACAAAGTCTAAATCTATTATTATCATTATTATTATTTATTTAATTATTTATTTAATTTGATTTCTGTTTTATACTCATTTCCTTTCGGGTCCCAACCGGAGATCTAACGTCAGAAATGGCATCGTGATATTTTCACTGAACACTTTTGTAAAAAATTAACTAACACTAAAACAAACGTAAAACACGTATTTTACATTGATAAAGCTCTTTGTAGGGTGTCCGCTGTACTTGTGAGAACAATTTTATTTTATTTTGTTAAAGCATGGGCTATCAGGGATCGCTTCAGTGAAACAATCAGAAACTTTTCCCAAGGTTACAACCACAACTGGAATTATTTTGAGATTTCTACATCAAGATCCTTGTATTTTGATAGTTTTATGTAGATCTTCAAAGACACATTACAGTCTGTAGGAACTGCCATGTCAGTGAAAAAGCACATTCTGTTTTTGTGATCTTTAATCAATATGCCTGGACAAGTAGTTTTTATTCTGCTTCTTTTGTATAACTCCATAAAATTGTTACAGTTCCTATGACTGTAACTGTGTCTGGGTGTGGCTCATACCAATTTCTTGTAGTTTCCTTCCCACAAGTGTTGCAGTTTTTCAAGTGCAGATATTGGATCAATCTGTCATGCTAAGTTTTATATACGATGGATACTAATAATGATACAAGATGGTCAATATTCTTCTGGATATTCGTCACAACATGTGCATTTGTCTTCAACACTATTATTATTATTATCAATATTATTAGTACTATTGTTATTGTTAGTTTATTATTAATATTAGTAGTAGTGTTAGTAACTATTGTTGCATTAATCTTATCAATATTAGCAGAAGTAAATGTGTTCGTAATGGTTTATATGTTTTGAAAATATGGAATTTGAAAACCTTTAAATCATGCATTTTCTAATGTTCACAGCCTAAAGAATTGTGCGGTTGCATCATGTCATTCAAATTAATGTCACCGGTGTTAATTTTGTAAATGAAAAACGCAGGATTTCTCATTGGAAGCAATCGGTTATTAAGAAACATATTACATCTTAATCTTAATTAATTTACATTTGCATTTCTAATCTTCTCCCTCTAAATTTGAGTACCAAAAATATAAGACATGACCACTTAATTTGACATTGTAAATCAAGACACCCTTTACATATACACAAAAACACATACAGAGAGAACGGTGCCCATGACTCGGTATACATAAATTTGGAGGAAAGATACGCTAGCGCATATTATTACGAAAGAAAAGTAAAACATAATTGTAAAGTAGAAAATGAAAAAAAGGGTGAAAAAAGCTTATGAATTGCAGAGAACAGCAAAAAAAATGTCGGTTTCGAATCTTGTCAGAACGAGACTATAGAAGCAAAGAGATTTGATTTTTATAAAAAAAAAGGTCTATTTTTTTATATATTGAATTATATTTTAAAAAAAGTTAATATTCCTGATGTATAAGAGTCGGTTACCTTTACAATTACAAATGAATCATTCATTTTTGTCTGCCATCAATTTATTTAAGCTTTTTTTTCCTTAATCCCTCTCACACAAGTTTTTTTTTTTCCAAAATCTTGTAAAAGATATTGGTTTTCTTTCACCTTAGTTTTCTCGTCATCGTACACATAAGATGAACCCCCTTTATTTTCTTAATCGCCCCCAGCGTTGTTCCTGTTCTTGTTCTTTTTCTTCGGCTTCTCCTCATTCTCCTCCTCTTTCTCCTCCTCCTCCTTCTTCTTCTCCCTTCTTCTTCTTCTTCTGCTACTTCTTCTCGGCGTTCTCCCCATTTTCTTCAACTACTTTATTTTCTTCGCCTATCTCTCCTTTCTTCTTCTTCTTCTTCTTCTTCTTCTTCTTCTTCTTCTTCTTCTTCTTCTTTCTTTCTTCTTTCTTCTCCTCCTTCTTTCTTTCTTTCTTCTTCTTCTTCTTCTTCTTCTTCTTCTTCTTCTCGCCCTCTTGCTTTTTCTTCTTCTACTACTTCATTTTCTTCTCCTCCTCATTTTTTCTTCCCATCCTTCTCTTCCTCTGCCTTCTACTTCTTCTCTTTTACCTCCTGCTCATTCACTTCCTCCTCCTCCTACTTCTTTTTCTTGAGTTTTCTCATTCTCAATTTAATGATTTCTTTTTCAGCCTCTCTACACCGATTATCAGTTTGTCTACTGCCATTTGTAAATAAAAACTACATTCATTTCCCAATTCTTTTTTGGGTACCATCGTATAAATCTATATGACTGTCTTGTCATGCCTAACCAGTAAAGTAGTGAACACTCCCTGTGGTAAAAAAATAAGTAAAATATGCTCAGCTGCAGGGGTTCATCCCTCCCAGGCAGTTCCTATCCCAATGCACTTAAAGAAGCTAGTGTCAGTGTCAATCCTTGATGCCTCAGGCGTCCCAAAAGGGACGTGCCGAGGAAGACTGAGCCATTTTTGTTATACCCCCATGTACGCATTAGTGGGGCGCATATAAACCGACCTTGTGTCATTTGCCATTATGGGAAAGAAGTTAAATATCTGTGTTAATCTCCTCTAAATGGTTGTCTGCTACTTTTTTGCTTTATTCATCAGTGATTTTTTCTTTCTATCTATTTTCCTGCTATTACCAGTTTCCCTTTAAATTTCTCTTGTATTTCTGAGATGCAATATATTCCCTTTCTTCTTTTCTTTATTTTCTGTCTGTTCTTTCTTTCTTTCTTTCTTTCTTTCTTTCTTTCTTTTGAAAATTGATATTTTTATTATATTTTTTGATGCAGTATATCCCTACTGTTCCTATTATTCATTCCTTCGTTTTTTTCTCTGTTATTCCTTTGTTTTCTTTTTTCTTTCTTTTTATCTATTTTTTTTCTTCATTATTCTAAAATAAAAATGGCGGATTTGAAAGATGTTTAATATAATAGGAAATAATGATAACAGAACTGATCATGAGAAAGAAAGAAAGAAAGAAAGAAAAAAAGAAAGAAAGAAAAAAAGAAGGAAAGAAAAAAGGACAAAATAAATAAATACATAAATACGTAAAAAAGAAAGAATGAAAGGACAAAATAAATAAATACATAAATATATAAACACATAAAGAAAGAAAGAAAGAAAGAAAGAAAGAAAAAAGAGTGAAAGTAAGGACAAAATAAATAAATATATAAATACATAAAGAAAGAAAGAAAGGAAGAAAAGAGAAAGAAGAAATAAATAAAGAAAGAAAGAAAGAAAGAAAAAAGAAAGAAAGAAAGTAAAAAGAAAGAAAGAATTACGGAAGGAAATATAAAAGAAAAAATGGAATATATTGCATATCAGAAATATTTTCCGAGATGCAGTATGTTCCTTTGTTTCTTTTTTTTTAATTTTTTTTATGTTTTTGTTTGTTTGTTTGTTTGTTAGTTTATTTCTTTCTTTCTTTCTTTCTTTCTTTCTTTCTTATGATCTCTTCTTTTATCTTTCTATTTTCTATTATATTTAACCTTTCCTATATCCGCCAGTTTTCCACTATTTATTTTCCCTTCTTTCTTTAAGTAATCCATTTTTTTCTTGTTGTCTGCATTTATTCATTTTACTATTTTTTCTCGGTGGCATTTTTTTCATAGTTTCCCCCATTTTTTTCTTTCCTTGTCTAATTATTTTCAAGACACATCATCCATGAATTGAAACGGAACCTGAAAAAAATTACCCTTCTCCTCTGCAGCTCAACTTTTCTCCTAGATGAACCTTCTTAGTCTGTGTCCTTAACCTAATTTAAACCTCGCTCTTCCCCCACCAACTCAATCCTACACAATTTATTTCCGACATGTGCTATTCTGATGCCATTGTTTTTCTTTTCATTTCTGTTCCTCGCTATATTTGGGTCTGGCCCTCGACTGACGGTTAACACATTCCTCTTGTAAAAAGTTGCCAGAGAAACTGTCCTTGTGCCATCCAAAGCTGAACTTAGTAAATAATTCACAGTCTCCTTGCGGGTTTAGATTACTGAGTATTTGTAATCGGAATAAGGAGTCATATACAACGTAGGCAAGCGGGTCCTACTCGCTTAAACGGCTAATGCTACACTAACATATGAATATCTGAATTTTATATAAAAAAATTCAAGCTGCCTTTTTAATCATCAACGAAGAAAGCACTGCGAAATTTTGCTAATACATTGCTTTCTTACTCTGCATCAGAACTATTGGCGTTTGACAATTATCTAGATTTTAAAATGCCTTTACTAATATCTATAATCTATTAATTAAATTTGATATTAATTTAAAACGTAGGAAGATGAGAATTATATTAAAGGGAAATACATACACATAGTTACAAATAGATAATTATTCTGTTTAAATATTCTGGAATTTTAACCATTTTAAATTCAGCGATTTGCAGCGAGTCGAATCATCCCTATTTCCTCCGTATCCATTTGTAAGAAGGAAGTTCTACTCAAAGATGATTTCCTCAAGAATTGTATCTTTATAAAAAAATAAACGGTGTCCATAAAGTTCGTGTGCACTTTAAAAAATTTATAACTTTATTTGAATTTTGTGATAGAAATAATATGTAAAAAGGATTAGAAAGAAGTGAATCTCTCTTTTTTAACGTTTTATAGAATTTTTTATTTAAATTACCACATGTCCTCCATCATTAGCAATACAAAGGGCAATACGATATTGCAGTTCACGGAAAACATTTGCCAACTGATTTGCAGTAATGCCTGGCATCATATTAGGTACTTTAGCTATACTTAAAACTATGTACATTAAACTTTATGACAATTTTTACAGATTAGTTCTATCGCAAATACAAATAAAGTTATAATTTTTTTTTTTAAGTGCACAGGAACTTTATGGGCACCATGTATTTCCCTGTACCTGCTCCTCATTACGCATGTAGTTTGGTTTATTTTGTTTAATGGCATATAAAACCTCAATGGGTTGTTTAATACCAACAATATTTTTAGGATAGATTCGTATGAATAGAATATGTATTCTTTGCTTTAGATTTGTTTGGTTTATTTTGTTTTACGGCATATCAACCTCAATGAGTTATTTAATGCCGATAATATTTTAAGGATAGATTCGTATGAATAGAATATATATTCTTTGGTTTAGATTGGTTTGGCTTATTTTGTTTTACGGCATATCAACCTCAATGGGTTATTTAATGCCGACACCATCTTTTATTGCTGGTAATATTTTGTTTTGTCAAAAATCTGTTTCTGGTAATATTTTCCCTTCAAAATTGCTTTGCTGGCAATAATTCCCTTCAAAAAAGTATTGCTGGTAATAGTTAAATATTTTTCCATAGCTGGGGCCCTAACAGGTGCTACCACCCTGGGTCAGGGTGGAGCTGGGAACATCAGCAATTAAGAGGTGGTTCCAAAACCTTCTCATCAAAGGCCTTACTGCTGGATGTAGTTTATCGTCTTACCCAGTACACGGATGTATTTTAACGTCTTACTCAGGACGAATTACTCCTGTAGACTCTATTAAGGAGTATATGGACACTAATTGCAACAACACTCAGCGTTACGGATGTGGCTTACATAGAAAGTAAGGGATGAATTTGCTATCTCAATGCCCAACCGGTATTGGATTATGAGTTTCGTCTAGAATGGATGCACACCAAGGCTTGAGTATCCGCCATATCCTGCTAATTAATTTGTAACAGGTAGTAAAAGAGTTGTTTTAATTCAATTGGCATTGGTGTGAAAACAAGCAGACAGTCTCGGCAGGAAAAGGAGCTCGGACAAGATGCATGAAATTCTAGGCAATATAATGAGGAAAGAATACCTGGAAAATCAGGGACCCCAGAGGATGTGTCGAAGACAAGAGAGACAGAAGAAAGCAGGGAGTAAACTACTTAATCCGCTTGTTTAAATGGAGAGGAAAATAGAAATTTGACAATATTTTTTAATCATTTCACTCCAAGCAAGGTAAGAAATACTACGAAGTATCAAGGGGTTAGTGATAGTTAAGGTAACAGTGAGGGCAATAATGAATCCAACGGCGATTGATGTTGCATTTGATTTTAATATAGTTGGAGAAAAGAAAAAAATGCTGAAAGAGAGAGAAAGAAATAGAGAAGTGTGGGAGAGAGTAGAAGAGGGAGAGAGTTTCACAGGTGAGACATGTGGGAGAAGAAAATATTAACATAGAGCATATGTTTACATGTAACAATTTCAGCAAAGAAATTATGAGTTACACCTAATTGCCAATCTAGTACTGCGTTTATCTTCCCGAATCGATGTATGAAAGACGAAAGATCTCCCGAAGAATTACATTGAAAATATTTATAGACAAATGCAACCTATGTTATGGCGGTTGGAACGCAATTTAATATGAGATGCCCGGTCAGAAACGATAATGTTTGATATTTTTCTTTGGATGTTGTCAAGAATCTCTAGATGTATAGCAGATGGACAAGACCAGATATGACAGTAATAATTAATGCACGGACGAATGTTGGATATATAAATGTGTAAGAGAAATTTTGGTGACTAAAATTATCAAGCACAACATAGTGTACTGACTTTCTTAAGAGCAACTTATTATTTATAATCATTACATTTTGTTTCAGCAGAAACCGACAAGCCACAGCGAGATGTATTCATGGTGTTACGCGTCTGTTATGCTAATAAAAATAAAAAATATACTTTAAGATTGTGAGGAG